AACCAGTTTTAAAAACACTTTTAAAAAAGAACAGTGAAGAAAGAGAAAATTATATTTTTTCAGTTTTTTTTTTTTGAAAAGGAGACCACTGTTTGCCTAAGAGGGCAAACTTCTGGAAATGTACAAACATGGCCTTTTAACAGTGTTATCTCCCATTAGTGAGCTGAATGACAGAATTTTTGATTTTTAGGCCTAATGACTTTTCTAAAAAAATTTTGTACAATAAATGTTATTCATAATAGTAAATATTTTCTGAATGTGGAAGACCTGGGACTTCATACACTCTTTTTGGGAATGGAAAGTGGTACAACTACTTTGGAAAACAGTTTCACAATTTTTAAAACAGTTAAACATATGCTGGCCATATGACCCAACCACTCCACTCTAGGTATTTACCCAAGAGAAAATGAAAGTGTATTTTCATGATGAGGACTTGTACAAAACTGTTCAAAGCAGCTTTATTGGTAACAGCCAGAAATTGGAAACAATCCAAACTTCCATCAACAGGCGAATGGATGAACAAACTGTGACAGCTATCCATACGATGGAATACTATCAGCAATAAACAAGGCATGAACTATTGGTACACAGAATAATGGATGAAATAATGAGGTTGAAGGAAAAAAGCAAGACAAAAAAAGAGTACGTGCTGTATGATTCTTTTTATTTAAAACTCTAGAAAAAGCAGACTAATCTATGTAACAGATGGTTGGTTTCCAGAGGGTGGAGGGAGCATCACGAGCCTAAGGACACTTTATCCATTATCTTGAGTAAGATGATGGCTTCTCTAGTGTATACATGTAGTAGAACTTATTAAAGTATATACTGTAAGTGTAATTTATCATACATCAATTACACCTCAGTAAAGCTCCTTTAAAAAAAATAATAACCTAATAAGACTCTGCGCTTCCAGTGCAGGGGGCATGGGTTTAATCCCTGGGCAGGGAAGTTCCACATGCCGCGTAGTGCGGCCAAAAACAAAAAAAAAACACAAAAAAACCCCTAAAAGCACAGGTACCTGTATCTTTGTTAGGCCAAGGAAGAATGAAGTCCTTGAACAGAAAGAAAAAGAAGGATATTGAAGTGGGGAGAAAATAGGAATAGGTTAAAGCTCAAATGAGTTGGGTTGCACCTCAGTGGATCTCAGTCAGCACTTTTCTGGGGTGAACTCATCAAACAACGAGAAAATCCAGGCCCCCTGGAAGGAGAGGAAAAAGCACATGTAGGACATTTGTGCCTGGGCTCTTTCAAATGTTATGTCACTAATCAAAGTGTAGTACATGCATCACAACATCAGCAACATCTTGGAGCTCTTAGAAATGGAGACACTCGGGCCCATCCTAGACCTACTAAATCAGAGCCTGCATTTTAACAACATCCCAGGTGATTCGTATACACATTAAAGTTTGTGAAGCTGCTGACCCAAACTACACAACAATCCAGAAGGTAGGTCTTACTTTTACAGATAAAGAGACAGTTTCAGAGAATTAAGATCCTCGTCCACGTTAGCTCTGAGCTATGATTCAAATGCTGGTCCATGTGATTCGAAAGGCCTCATAATGTCCACTTGACAACCACTTCTGAGAAGGGGTTTGTGGGAAATGTTTCATTGGGTGGCTTGGATCAGGGCAACGATTAAAAGCATATGAGAAGGTGCAGAGAAGCAGGAACAAGTAACACAATGTATGGTAGTTTTTATTTAACTCATTTGTTTTCGTCTGCCCACAAAAATAATATATGCATGTGGTAGAAAATTGGAACAATCAAAAACCTATAGGGAATTCCCTGACGGTCCAGTGGTTAGGACTCCGAGCTTCCACTGCAGGGGCCCCGGTGTTTGATCCCTGGTTGGGGAACTAAGATCCCACAAGCTGCACAGCATGACCAAAATAAATAAAATTTTTTAAAATTAAAAATAAATTAAAAATAAGAAAACCTATAAAGAGGAAAATTAAAACCACAGTGACCCTTCAACCCAGAGAGGACTATCGTTAAATGGTTTAATTTAATGAGTCTGAAGGTGGTTGCCTGCTCAGAAGTCCATCCTGAAAGTATGTCTGTATGTGTATAACTGAGTCATTTTGCTGTGCAGCAGAGATTGGCACAGCGTTGTAAATCAACTATGCTTCAGTTAGAAAAACGGAATTAACAAAAAAGTCAGTCCCGGTTAGATCTGTTTGGGGGCTGGCAATTCTCGGTCTTCTGTGTTAAATTCCATTGAATACAGCCAATGTCAGTTGAGTGCAGGCTTTGTGGCAAATGGAAATACTGTAAGGATAAATCAGAAGATTCCAGACTGCCAACCAGGAGAAAATCCAATCTAGAGTTCAAATCAGCCCAATAATTAATTTATTAGCAGCCACCTAAGGTGTTCATGCTGACTGAATTCTCAGATATGTGCTGTTACATAACAGGCAACAGACCCAAAGGAAGTGGGACACAGATGGGAGCCGTTTTGTTTCCTGATAGTTACGAAGTCAGACGCCATACAAAGGAGGGAAGAAACCTCACAAGATGCCGGGAAGGCAAGTACTATTCTCACTAATTGAGGGAGAGTATGTGGGAAGCCTAAAGTTGAGACAGGTGAAATATCTCGTGGGTGAGGAATCTGCCTCACAG